CTCTTTCTTTCTCTGGGCATTCTTTTTATCTTTTTATCTCTGTTTTTCACTGTCTGTCATGTGTGCTTTCATGCAATCAGTTTCTCATCTGCTGCCAAAGTAGATTCTAGCAAGTGTATCAGGTACGTACACTCGTAAAATTGGTTTTAGTGTGTGTGTGTGTGTGTGTGTGTGTGTGTGTATGTGTGTGTGTGTGTGTGTGTGTGTGTGTGTGCACGTGCATGTGTGTATATGTGTGTGTTTGTGTGAAACATCGCAAGAAATGAAAGATAAGAAAAAAAGGAGACAGAGAGAGAAAGAAACATGAAAGAAAGAGAGAGAAAGAAAGAGCTAGAGAGTGAGAGAGACCTTTTGTTTCTCCTTATTAGTTTCTATTTATATCAAAGCATCTCACTGACTATCTTGGTTGCATTACCGATAAGTGAATCAGTGCACACCTGTTTATCTCTTTGATTACTAATTCAGTGATTCAGTAACCCAGTGACTCAGTGATTCAGTGATTCAGTGTTGTTTCTCCGTAGCTGCACAGCGCTCCTGGGAGGAGGTCATAATGATGATTGAGGAAGATTAAACACTCAGTAAGACTTCTGTACCTGAATTTGCCTGCATTCAACCAGCAAGTCATGATATGCTTTAGTCAAACTGAGAGCATTATTTTGCATATTAAATTCAGATTTGATGACAATGATAAACTCATATATCTGATCATATCAAAGCATGTTAATTTATTATATCATGCATGTAAATTTATGTACAGGTGGTTTTAATAATGGCTCTGATTATTTATTTCCAGTTGTTATTTCAGTTCAGGAACATAATACTATAGAAATGCTCTGACTTACAACAGGTGATTAAATTAGATTTAGGGATCAAAGTTTCCTTTAAATGCTGTTTTAGAACCAGGAATGGTTTAGAACCTGACTAAAAACCCAGAAGCTCACCTCTGCTCTGTCACTGCTTTAGATGTGAGTAGTATTTATAAATCTATCAATTGAAACAGATTCAGAGCGGTTTGCTGTGAAATGCTCTGTTCTAGAGAAACTTCGGAATTGTTCACAGTGTTTTGACAAGTTTTGATTTTTGCAGTTTAACTATATTTTATCATTATCAACATCACATATAGAAACTCAGAAGACATGCCTCATATCCCAAAAAATTTAATTATGCAGAAATTTTGAAAAATAGGTGGAATTCACCCTTAATTCTTAAGAGCACAGCCAGTCGGACTTCTTGATTGTCTGCTTTACTAAGCTTGCACTGTAAAAAATATCATGCTTATTATTATTATAACCTAATATAATTATCCTCTTTTGTCAATTCAATTTAGATCCACCAAAACTGCTCAGAGAACTAATCTGAAGGGGGTTATAAATAACATAAACACATACATACTACAGGTGTTTACTATTAAAGTAAATAAAGTGGCCATATAGTATTGTATATTATATCATGACACCTGGTTCCCATCACCATCACTCTAAAGAAGTCAGAGTCAGTACATTTCTCTACAGTGAATTATACCACATCAAAACACATTTAATGACTTTATTTATCTGTGTCTCATCTCAAATCAGTGATTCTAAAACAGAGTGAATGTGATGCATCATATGGTGCACCAAAACCTTTACACAGAACTGACTTACAGTAAGAGCTAAGACAAAGAACATCAAAGCTAAATTTGTTTTATTACAGTTTTTCTCATTGGTGTGATTTAAAAATATGACTTATGAATGCTCAAAAGTGTTCAAGCACAGGAGAAAACCTAACCTGCACAGTGAAACAGTCAAGTGGTCATGAAAACAGTGTCAGAGAGTGAACAGAGCCCAAGTCGTCTCTTCAAAGATGGTGTCAAAAAGAGAAATTCAGTGTGAATTGGTCTACCTTAATAGCCTAGCTGCTCAGGAATGCTAAGCTGTTTGGCAATTTGGGCTGTGTGAACTCAGTGAGCTGCAGAGTGATTCTGCCCTTCCTCAGAGAAACATAATGAGACACTAGCAGCTGATGGACTACATGAACTCTGCATCTGATATCATTTGATAGAGGAAACAGAAAGGAGAAGCTGATACTATTTTTAGAGCTGTTGTCTCTAATGTGAAAAGAAATTTAAGGCCTGTCAAACAGATCAATGCAAATAGATAAGTGACATTTCTTGACTTTGATGATTTTGAACACCAAATTATTGAAATATTTTAGGGACACAACAAAGAGATAAAACACAGTCATAAAAATATGCATTAGTTTATTCTCATATGGAGGGCAGCAAGAAAAAGACAATATACCTTGTATTGTTTGGCCTCTACTGACAGGGGGCGCTATAGTTTTGCTCCACTGGGGAAACACAGCTGTTCAGATGTTATCAGATACACACACAACCAACCCCCTTAAAAGTACAAATTGTCAGCACACTTCAGAACTACAGTCATATGCAAAACTTTGAGCACCTCTGTTCCAATGACATGCTTTGTTGATTTTCTAAGTGAAAATAAGTTACACATCCTCTACAGAGAACACACCTCTGCACATTTCAACGCATAGTTGCTGTTTATAGAATGTGGCCTGTACAAAAGTTATACCACATTTTATGTATTATATTTGATGTTTTATTGTTCCCAATGTGTTAGCAAATAAATAGAAATTGTACACTAAAATTAGCAGAAAGAATGCCACATTTAATTTTATTCTCTCTTGAGGATGTCATTAGGTAATCAACAAAGCATGTCATCACCAGGGGTGTTCAAACTTTTGCATATAACTGTACATACAAGTTTTAGGCTCAAATATCATGAAGGCATTACATGTGAAATTACTTATATTATAAAAAGGTAAATATGTTGAGCTGAAACTTAATTTAATTGCACACATCAGCACTGTAAGTTGTTTGTTGATGGTGCTAAGTTGATTATTTGATGAAAATGTTTGCCTTTAGGAGGTTTGCATTTTGGCCTTAGAATTATCCAATAGCTTTAAATTAAATAAAAGGAAGATAACAAAAACAGATACCAGTAATAGAACAAGATGCATCCAATTACCTGATCCAAATTCTTTAATGACATTCAGTGAAGTTATTCATTGGTTTAATTATTTATTAGCAAAGTATTATGTTTAACAGTTAAGACTGAATGAATCATTAAAGCTATTCCTTGAACATCCTTTCTTTGGATACTGTAACACGTGACATCATATAGGATAAGAACATTGTAGAAAACATGACTATGCTGTTCAAAAGGTTGGAATCTGCGAATCCCTGTTGGTGACATTCCTTCTATATTAAGAACAGTGGCCGCAATTTACAACGGTGTGGGAACAGGATCCTAATGTGTGGCCATGACTTACTAAGGAGTAGGAAACTGCTTAAGCGGTGACCATGACTGCGTAAGGGGTTGGAACAAGATAATTAAGTCATAGTCATGACTTAGTAAGGTGTAAGAACGAGATAATTAAATCATAGTCATGACTTAGAAAGGTGTAAGAACAAGAGAATTAAGTCACCGCTGTGACTTAGTGAAGTGTATGAACAAGATAATTAAGTTATGGTCACAACTTAGTATGGTGTAGGAACTAGATAATTAAGTCATAGCCATGACTTAGCATAAGAACAAGATTAATAAGTCCATACCTTACTAAGGTGTAAGAATGAGATAATTAAGTCATAGCCATGACCTAGTAAAGTGTAAAATCAAGATAATTAAGTCAAATCCATGAGTTAGTAAGGCACAGGAATGAGATCATAGCCATGTTTATTAAGAAGATATGTCACCACCAGGACTTCATAGGAATCAGTAATATTCAGTAATATTAAACCAATTTGTGGCAGATAAATGTGGAAAATGATTATATTGAAATGCAACTACTGCACAACTATAAGATTTTTAACCTATTTATAGTAAGTTATAAAAGCAAAATAACATCTTAAAATACCTTCTAGCATCTGGATTTCTGGATTTCAATCCACACTGTTTGGGTTATTGCTGAATAATAAAACAGCGTTTATCAATGTGATGTGATTCCAAACTTTCTAACAATAGTGTATGAAAATACAATATATTTCTTCTATAGATTTTGTGGTTCTATCAAAAGATGCATTCAGATTTTGAACAGCGTATAACAATGCTATAAAATCTCTTAAGCTTGCTTGTTTCTTTCTCCTTCTGAAATCATACAGTGTGTAATATTGGGCAAAATAAGTCTGCTGCCCTTTAACTAAGAGGTCCTGTACTTTTCAATGGAATGCACCACTGACCTTTCCTTTGAGGTAATGGAAATGTCTCTGCTTTGCTCTTCAAGACACGTTCGGCGCTTGAGAAAACGGTGCAGGGAGTTATAATTGCATCTCTTCTTCTCTTGAGGCTTTCCAAAGACATCGCGGAAAACAAGGGTCAACATGACTGAGTCAGCAAGTTCACAGACAGTTCCAAATGAACTCTGAACCAAACAAAAGGAGAAGAAATCCAATGCTTGTTTAGCACGACCGCACAAGCCGGTGCCCTTTGTTTAACATGCTCCTGGGAGCCATAAATGTGCCCTCAAGTCCCGATGCTGCTGGCGCAGAATGAGAAGATACCAATATCAGCAACCTTTGTGTACTCACAGGGATCTTTTTACAGTTTAATAACCAAGTCGACAAATTCTTACACGTTGCCCTCCCCATGCTGGGTTTTAAAACCCTTCTTTGCTATGAAGTTTCAGTCTTTTGTTTAAACTCTTTCTAATATCAGTCCCTACAGCATTCGGATAAATGAAGAGCTGCCCTTGCTTTATACTTTCCACTCTTAGCAGCATTACTGGAAGTCTCTGAATTGATGTCATGCCGATAAAGATGTTATACTCAAATTACAGTTGTTAGTGTAATTACTTTCTACTGCTCTTAAAAAAGCAGCGCAACACTATTAGCTCCCATAATGTGACCTTTGAAGAGCTTCTCATATAGCAGTCAGGGGTGCTATCACAAAAGTAGTTCAACAAGCTCCTTTGAAGCCATGCCCCACTCATGGCACAGTGTTTCAACTGGCCTTGAGATAGTTATAAAAAGCTTGGAGACCTCCATCCAGCACCTCTTTAATGGGCTTGAGCAGAGGGTTATGCACAATATGGAGTCCTTTGTCCAGCGGGTGGCAGGCTAGCTTCTCCAGCCTGTTAAGTTGGTGCATTTCAGCTGGAACGTTCTGAATGTCATTGTAGTCCACGTTAAGCAGTTCAAGCTTGGTCAGGCAGCAGAGCATCTTAGGCAGAGAGTGAATGCAGTTCCCTTCTACTATGAGGATCTTCAGGTCAGCCAGTGTCTGGATCTGCTCTGCGATGTTCTCCAGCCTGTTGCATGCCACATGCAAGAAGACCAGGCTTTTCATTGCGTAGACGCATGTCGGGATATGGACAATGTTGTTGTGGCTCAGGTTGAGCTTGCGCAGGCCCGTGAGTGCAGACAAGCTGTTTGGGAGGCTCGTGAGCTGGTTGTTTGCCAAGCTCAAGACCTCTAGCTTGGTGCAGGAGCTCAGCTCCTCAGGAACTTCAGCTAGATGATTGCGGTACGCAAAGAGAACTTTCAGGTTCTTGAGCAGCCCAATCTCAGGAGGCAGACTGCTCAGCTGGTTACCCCACAAGTTGAGCACCACCAAGTTTTGAAGGAGGCCCACTGAGGAAGACAAAGACTGCATGCAGTTCAGGGACAGATTGAGCTTCTGCAGTTCCATGAGCTCCCACAGTTCTTCTGGAGCATCCACCATGCCATGGCGGGCCAGGCTCAACACACTGTACCCGAAATGTGTGACTATGTATTTGCGGATCTTCTCTGATGATGTTTCCTCAAAGGCTGCGCTCCTTCTTCCTTGCTGTTTCATCTCCTCACCTGCCAGTTTCTTTGAATGCTTTCCCCCCATTCCCAGCCACAAATCACCTAGAGTCCTACCAACTAACAACAACTAAAGTAGAACAGTAGAAAACATCGTCCTTACTTGTGATCTCTTCAGAATAGAAGGGTCATTTGCTTCGAGCAGTGCCTGGGAGGTCCAGAGAAGCTCAAAGCACATTCTTGGATCAGAAATGCCTTGAATATCCAGCTGGAAGTGGCTGCCTGGTCGAGCCGTAAACACATACGTGTGTGCGTGTGCATGACTGGGAAGACGTGTATGTTTGTCCATAGCACGTTGGAGGAGTAATGCTGACAGCCAGGGGCGGGATAAAGGATCTGAAGCATATCCTAGTGTCAGACAACATTGGCGGAACAACTCTAACAGTATTTGACTGCTAGTCTCTTCAGCTGCCCCTGTCACTTCAATGGACCCGCTCAGTGATAACTAACCTTGATTTTGGTGAGGGCATGGGATGACCATTTCTGGAGAAGAAATATGATGACCGTGCCTCACCATTGCATGCTCTTCACCACCGTCTCCACTTGTTCTAACACTACATACCTTTTTTCTCCATATTGAACAGCCTATCTGTGCTGAAGTTTACAAAACAGTTTATAAATAGCACTATTGCGATAACTCAAGCTATTTGTTTCCATACATAGCTGTCTGCAGGACTGTATATAGGTCATAAACATGCATACAGTTTGTGCAAGAGGTAAGATGCCCTAAATTTGATGCGTATTGACACGTAATTGTTAATGAAGATGCATGAAATGTCATGACACTGGAAACTCATATGGACCTTTCATCACACCATGTGTTATTTTCATTATGTGACAAAGTATCGTACTATTCCAAGAAGTGGATTAAAGAGATGTGAAGGCTGGTAATAAACGGATGCACAGTATTCCAGGGACAGTTGTGACGTCTGTTCAGTGATACTTCCTGGCTGGGTATTTCATGGCATATGAATACGTGTTTTTTATTTTAATAATAAAAAGCCACCTAATACAACAATATAGTTTTTAAGGAAATGTTGCATAAGACAATTTTGTTGATGTGTTTTGTAAATGGTTACCACCAAACATGAAAGACGAACATCTAGAAGCCTAAGAAATGTCAGTAAGGTGTTGATTCAGGCTGAGCTAGTGTAATGGTTTTGACGTTCCTCAGGCAAGAGAACTATGTCGGTCAGATCCGCTGAGGATATTGTAAATAGTGTGACTTCTTATATATAGACCCTCTGACAGGGTTAATGAACTCATGGCATCCATGGGCCACATGTTTTCACTCTATTTGTTTTTAGCAACTTTGTTTTTAGCTACTCTTAGCAACTCTGGGTCAGTTGTTGTGATGGAAAACAATAAGTACAGTAGGCCTAATTAATTCATAGTAATTAATTTAAAGGAACATCTTGTTTATGACCTTGCACCTTAAAAAAGCTGATGAAATAGAGAGATAGTTGGAACAACATGCCTGATAATATACAGTGATAAAAACAGGTTAAATTATATGTTTTGTTGATTTTCTGGGTGAAAATGTGTTATATATCCTGTGTAGAGAGTACACTTTTGCATATTTTAATGCACGATTACTGTTTATTTGCTGAATTTACCAAAAAAATAAAACATAAAACGTGGCCTGTGTAGAAGTGATGGCACGTTTTATGTTTTTTGTTTTTGGGTTTTTTCCGCCAAAATATGTAAAACTCATGTTTATTGCAGCTAATATATAGATACTATGCACTAAAATTTGGAGAAGAATAATTAATTTTATTCCCTGTTGAGAATGTGTTAACCTCTGAAGTTCTGCTGAGGTAGTACATGCTTATATCCTCTTTTACGGATGAGGTGGTACACCTTGGATCCTTTTTCTTCTCCACATTTCTTTCTCCATCACTTTGGTGTGGGCTAATCTGCACGTCATTTGTCCATAAGAAATTTCTTTACAGTTTTTGCTGTACTTTTTAGCAAATTATACCTCGGCCTTCCTGTGAGTGAGGCTTACTAGTGGCATTAACATGTGGTTGTTTGCTATTGCTACTTCACCAGTGCATTCCTCCATCCTTACATCAATCAAATAGCAGGTGTGGAAAATGCTCAAGTAATTCTAGTATGTTATTATACTTAACGCTATACTGTGTAAGATTTGTGGATTTGGAGACCTCCCTAGTGGAAATGTGTAATTATATGTGCTTGAATTAAAGCTGATGTTCCACACTTTATTGTTTCATTTTCATTAAAATACAAAAAAAAAAAACAAAGTGTACATATGTGGCAGCATGTCTAGGCACCATGACTAAATGTAAGGATTTCAGATTTTAGACAGATTTTGCAAGTGCAAAGTGTTTCCATCAAAAATCAGCTAGCCGAAGTGAATAAGATAAAATGAATAATTGTCTGAAAAACTTTTTTTAATCAGGCACAAACTGGGTCAGCTTGTGGTAGAGGCGAATCAGTAAAACAATGTGATCCACTTGCGAGAAGGATGGTTAGACAGATGGGAGTGCACATTTCGGTCCGGTGGAATTTTAAAACTCACTTCGGTATCCACATTCATCACAGGCTGCTCATGGAAACCTCAGCTGTGTGAACTTTAAACTCTGAACTATGACACACATACAAATAGACTACAAACTCAGAGTGTTCAGTGTGTAAAATGTGGATGAAACGTATAATGACAACAAGTTTTCTTTATCTATCTATATTCATTAGAACATACATGTTTCTTATCACACATTATTGCATTTTATACACAGTATTGTGTGACAGTCATAGACTTGATTTTTGGAATTTCTGGTCAAATTAGCCATTAAGTACAAGTTATTCATTTCTCAGAAGTATTTCTGAGGGGATTAGATAGATGATAATCCACCTGCGTGCAGAAGGTGAAAATGGGACTCCTAATAACCATGCAAGACCTGGTAGACCACCAATCCCAGCCACATTTACACAGCCTGATAATCCATTATTAATATGCTATTAATACTAATAGCTCAGTCGGAATAGTATACATCCATGTAAACACCTCAATCGGAATAGACTAGTCTGATTGAGGCCATTCGGAATACAATTTCTGTCTGATTGAAGAAGGTGGGTAATCCTGTAACTAGTCTGTTAAACAGAAGAATAATAGCCATGTAAAGCCTGTATATAATTACATTCCCAATCAGAGAGTTTAAGTATATTCTGTGCATGTGCGTTTATAGCGAGAGTTTATAACGTTCAACATGGCAGGAGCAGAAACTGGTCTACAGAGGAGACGAAGTTTATGCTTTGAACTATAAACGATGGCAGTGGGGCGGTGTCCAGCTTATGTGTCTTCCTCTCGCCCTTCTTTACTAAGTACATGTGAAGCAACATCTTAAAGCAATTAAAAACACAAGCACTGCTCACTGCTGCTCGTCTCACTCTGACTGGACTCACGTGATGCTCATTGTCATGGTAACGTCAAGTGATGAATTTTAAATCTGATTATTCGTAGTGTGCATGTAAACAGACTTTTTCTTCAGATTCTTGAGTAGAGTGAGCATATAAACACCTCAGTCTTAATATATAATCGGAATGCATTCAATCGGATTGACAAAAATCTTTGCATGTAAACACAGCCATTGTCACCATCAGACTAACAGTACTAATATCTGAAAAACTCCACAGTTTCTGTCCATCCTTCCACTGTGAGATGACAACTCGACACTATCAGTCTAAAAGTAGGTGTAGCTGTCAAGAAGCTGTTACTGAGAAAAGAAACTAGACAAAAAAACACAGATCTCAGCATCACTGAGTGTGTTTGGGATTACTTGGATCGTGAGAAGCAGAAAATGCAACCAACTTCTAAGACTGAACTTTGGAGGTGTGGAAAAATATGGCTGCACATTTCTTTGAAGATTTTAAAGCAAGTCTCTTAAATAGAATGGGAGCTGTGAGAGTGTAAGAACAGAAACTGTAAATGTTATGTAATATGTTACAAATATGTATTATTTTAACATTATAATAACTGACCATTCTACCTTTTTTTTCTACAGATATTCATATTTGTATATCTACATATCTATGCACACTCCTACTCCTACAGTTGGCTCTCCCTTCGGAAATCAAAGAAGTTATTTTAAGTTATCAAAGTACGGTAATAAGTTAGATTTCAAATCATTTGAACTCGAAGTAACAGAACTGCATCATCAGTGCTCATATTACTTTAACACAGTTCTTATGCAATTCTTTGATTGGATTGATTTTTTCCACTCACTGGACACAGTACCATTTTTCCACACAACTGCACCATTTTTCATTTACCTCACACGAGTTCAAGTTCTGCCTCTATTTGCTGCACATGGCCGTTGGTGAGACGGTGCTGGTAATGCGAGTCACTTGACAGTTTGACCTGCGGCACCGCAACCTCCATTCAGCCTTAAACATGACCCCTCCTTTCAGAGGCAGGCTGGGGTAAAAATAAACACAGAATATTTGACTTGCTAATTCCCCTACCTTGCACATGAACAAGGCTGGCCTCTACTAGGGCATTAATGCACACGGAGCAGCTCAGGCTGTTGACCTGCAGCAACCCTGGCTAGGTTTATTTGGCTGTGAATATGTGGGCTATTGCTAGCTGTGCACATTATCTCTAATAAGCATGCTATAACTTAGAATCATAAAAAATATCTTCTGTGGCGTAGTTAATGGATATAAAGAGTATGTGATGTAGGAAAAGGTTGTGACATGTCAGTGCATCTCTTGGATTTTAATGCAAAGGTTGTACTACAGCCCCCTGCATTTTAACCCTGACTCTCTTTTTTCTTTACCACATAAATGTCACAATTCCTCTTGGTCTTTATGTAAACAAGGTACAGATTTACTATACCTATATATATAGCTAGTGTCAAACGCATTGTTCTCTCAGGGTTATATGTGAGACTGCATTGGTAGAGTGGCCAGCTGTGACAAATATGACAGAAATTTGCTTTTGCTTTTTGACAGAAAAACATGAAGGAACGTATGGGGCAACATAGAAAGATATGCATATAGAACATACTGTATATGACATACCTTCATTCAAACATATGTTGGACAAAGGCTGAGTTGCTAGGTAGACTTCTTTCCTCCAAACAGGGAAATTACACCTGTGCAGAAGTGAAGTACAGCAATTATATTAAATAATGTGAGTGAACTGTCTGCTGCACCTATTGTGCCATGGCATTTAGCAGTAACTGACACAGAAAAGAGCACAAATGTAGTCAATGAATTCAGATGTAGAGTAAAGGCAATAGCAGTGTGTCATTGAAAATACAACAATTGTGCATTTTTTCCAGCTGCCATATAACCACTGTGACAAAAACTGATTCCAGAGCCTAGCCTAAGGGTAATGAAAGGGTAATGAATGAGTCCCA